TGAAAAATATTTCATAAGAAAATATTGTTTTACAAATCTTAATGTCTGGCTTAATAGAAGACAGCTGGATTCTTACAATGTGGTTATCTTCTTTTGGTTGAAGTATATGAAAAAAATCTGGCTTTATACAGATTTATAATTGGAAAAGCAGATTAGTTTAATAGTTTTTTTCAGATAATTGTGCTCACTCTACTAAAATTAAACTAAATTAAAACTCAACAGGTGGTGGTTTCTTAAAGATTAGCTGTGATGTGGATTATGAAAGCATGTCAGTAAAATTTTTATATTCTTTACATTTAAATCTTGCACTGTAAATGGATCTTCTACCCATTCATAATTTTGTAACATTATGCGTTTGCCATTTGGAAAATGATTGTTCACTGAGTTGTACAGATGCTCCAAATATTACTACATTTCATTAATCAACATAAATATTTTTAAAAAATCATATACATCAGAAAATCCTTTAAGTATTAGAAAATTGTCATGCTCACCATGGTGGATAAAAATTTTCCAAATTCCTAATTACCATTTGGTAGCTTGAATTTTTATCTTTGGTAACAAATCCTGTCAATTGTTTTACTAAAAGTGACAGGCTCACTTTTTTATTGGATGTTTTTTGGAAAATATTTGCCAAATATCAAAGTCTGAATAACTTTAGTTTGTTGATTCTTTCAAGTAAAAATGCTGTTCCTTGAATCAGGTTGCTAGGTTAGCTCACAACTCAGTTGTGCAAGTGTTTTTCCTGAACACCACCATTGTACTTCAGTATGCAGGATTTGCCACAGGAAATAGTAAAAAGATGTGTACTCAATGCTTGGGATCTCATAAAGAATAACTTTTCCTTCTTTGTCAAGGACATTCCTGCTGGTGATGAAGAATACAATTAATATTTGTATAGTTTGGTACCACTGCCTTCATGCGAATGTGCCAACTGCTGTACCTGTCACTGCTTTTGTACCATCAGTGCCAATGTCAATAAATTTTGTCATTTTTTTCTGTTGTAATTTCACAGATTATAATTTAATTTTTAGAGAAAACAGGTAGCATTCACACAAGTCAAACTAGGGGTGTAATATACAACAAGATAAATATAAATTCAAACTGCTATATGTTATATATGAAAGTTAAGAGAGTAAATTCTAAGAGTTCTCATCACAGGAAAAGAATATTTTCTATTTCTTTAATTTTGTACCTATATGAGATGATGGATGTTCATTAAACTTATGGTGATAATCACTTCTCGATGTATGTAAATCAAATCATTATGCTGTATGCCTTAAACTTATGCAGTGCTGTCAATTATATCTCAATAAAACTGGAAGAAAATAAAAGAAGCATTGGAAGAAATATGATTGGTTAAGGATAGAGAAAGCTGAAAATTATATACAATGAGTATAGAACTTCTTAAGTGAAATATATTTTTAATGAGATTTGTTGAAGCAAAGGCTGCTGACATTTATTAGTATAATGAAACGAATCAAACTCAAAAAAGAAGGGAGATAAGGGAACTATATCATATGTCCTCTCTCTCATGCCCCATATTTAATGCATTACTAAGTTTTGTTGATTTTATCTCCTCACTGTCTCAAATTGGTCCATTTCTTTTTGCCACACAGCCTCTGCTCCTGTCCAAGCCACCATTATCTTATCTCAGTATCTGACAGACTTGTTCCTATCCAATCCATTTTCCACTAAGTGAGCAGTGAACTTTAAAAAAAAATTTGATCTTAAATTAATGTAATCTTATCATTAATCTAATCACGTCATCCCTTCCTACAAACTTCCTAATGGCAACCCACTGAATTTAGGATTAAAAAAAAACCCAAATTTCCTTACCATAATCTACCAGGCCCTGTAAGATGTGGCATTTCTTTATCTTACCAGCCTCATCTTATGTCTGTTTCATCCTTAAACACTGACTGTCCATTGTGATCTCTTAATTCTTCAAACATGAACATGCTGCAGCTCATTTCTACATCAGGACCTTTCCCTTCCTAGCTGGGCTAACCCTTCCCTATCTGTCATGTATTAGCAGAAATATTACTACTTTAGAGAGGTCTTACCTGACACCCACTCCCACAGGTCTGTTTATTATACTGTCATAACACCAGCAGAGAGTATACCTTAATTAGTATAGTTAATTGTTATATTTATCTCTTTTCTCTAAGCTTTGTTCAAGCAGAGGTTGTCTGTTCACCGATGAAGCTCTTGAAACCACCACAGTACCTGACATATAGTATACATTCAATAAGTAGTTAATATATAAATGAGTATAAGAGGGGACTTTTGACAAGAATAGATAAAAAATTATGATGGGAGATTTTAAAATATTTCATTTACTGCTTCCTTTTAAAAACACATACACATTTTTAACATTTTTTATTGATTTACAATCATTTTACAATGTGTCAAATTCCAGTGTTCAGCACAATTTTTCAGTCATTCATGGACATATACACACTCATTGTCACATTTTTTTCTCTGTGATAAAAACACATACAAATTTTTAAGAAAAAAATTAGCTGTCTTTTGTAGTCAGAACTCTTTCAGCTGAAACTAACAAGTAGCAAAACAGTTGCAATAAGCAGAGGAATTTATTGCTTCATGTAATGGAAAGTCTAAGGATTAACAATGAACACATGTGGATCCAGGTGCTTAAATAATGTCATCAGGGGTCTTTCTGTTTTAGCTTTGCCTTTCTTCTCTTTTGGTTCCCATGTTGCCTCCCTATTTCCCCAGTCACAGTGGAAGGAGAAATGGCCCTACCAAACCTAGGCTCATAGGCTTAGTAGAAATTTTAATTTCAAAAGAGAAAAACTTCTTCCTGATAGCTCCAATAAAAGTTCTGGCAATGCCCATCACAGCCTAGGTTGGTCCACATGTCCATCCCTGAACCAGGAGAATGTAATATTCTGATTGGTCACCTGGACCATATGGGCTGAATGGAGCAGAGGGGGTTCTCAAAGGGCAAATCAAGGAGCTATTGCTTCAGAAAGGGGATACTGGGGAGGCCAAAACAAAAGATACCCACTTTAACTATGCAGAAAAATTGTGTGAAGAGGAAAATTACTGATTAAAAATAATACTGCATGTAAAATATTTACCCTTGAGAAAAATCTTAGAGAAAAAGAAAATTTCCCTACTTAAAACAAAATTAGATATTGACTACAGAAAAACACATGATAATCTTTTTTCTGGAGGGGCGAGGTAATTAGGTTTATTTATTTATTTATTTTTAAATGGAGGTACTGGGGATTGAACCCAGGACCTCGTGTGTGCTAGGCATGCACTCTACCACTGAGCTATGCCCTCCCTCCATAACAGCATATGATAATTTGAACTATGAGATAATGGAATCATAATAAAAACATAAATATGGGGACTAGGAATGTTAACAAGTTTATTGTTTAATTCCAGAACTAACATCTACAAATAGACAATTAATACAAGGATAGGCCCTATACCAGTGAACAGACTATTTCAAGCACCTTTAGATTGTTTTATTCTTATGTAATTGGAATCATGGTCTTATACAATTGTATAATTATAAATTGGTCTCATTTAGTTGTCACGGTAGGTCTCTAAAGACCTACATTTAGTTTGAATGATTAAAGGGCTTACCCTGATTTGAGTATTAGCCATCAGTTGCTGCCTCTTGTCTCCTGCGTTTGTTTTTTCCAGCTACCAGCATCTGGCCTGGGTCAGTCAGCCGTGACAAGGTCCGTAGATGTACAGCTGATGTCTCAGCTCCACCATGTGGTAGTGGTTGGAATTTAAATTGCTTCCCTTCAGAGGCAGAATCTGCTGATGAAAAACAAGAAAGCAAGGAATATAATGAGGGTAAATGAGTAAAAAATGGGCTTATTGCTTCTTTCCTATATCTACTTTATAGCAAACAAAGATGAAATTGAAAATTACATAAACAGAAGTTTTAATATTTTCTTCCCATCCTCCAGGATATATTCCCTGGATACACATGTCCAACTTTGGGGAGCCCACTGACCTCGAGAAATATACACATGCTCCAAAAGATACATATAAGAATTTCATTGACGCAACTGTTTTTAATAATGAAAAAATTGGAAGCAATCTAAATGTTCATTAACAGGTAAGTGAGTAAAAGTTTTAATATTCATTCAATGGAATATATGTACTCAGTGGATTACCTTACAGCAGGTTAAAATAACTATTACAGCTACCTGTTTCACAATGGAAAAGACTCAAAAACTGTTGAAGACAAAGAAAGTTCTTGCATGGTATGTAGTGTATGAGACTATGTTAAAATATGTTAAACAATCCTTTCTATTGTTTATGGATACATACATATACAAAAATGGTATGTACACCTGCATAGCAATCAAAAACACCAAAGTATGGATAATGGTTACTCTGGAAAGGGAAGGAGAGAACTGGGATTGAAGAGGGGTCTGGAGAAAATGTGGTAAAATGCTAAGATTTGACAAAGCTTAGGGGTGGGTACTGTGTTTTATATATATATATATATAAATCAAATATACTGAAGACCTTTCAGTGTGTTTGTATTAATATGTAATATTAAAATATTCAGTGAAACATATTGGGAAAAAGTTACCCCACAAAAGGTATGGGAAGAAAACTAGAAAGAAAAGACCAGAAATATTTTATGTCTACTCTATAATAGAGCAAATGCAGTAAGAAATGGAGTGGTATAGGATTATCTACAAGAATACTAAAATGACCAAGAATTATGATAGATGTACCATGGGAGAGAATGAACCAAGAGCTAAAATCAAAAAATGAGGGGGAGTTCCCCCAGGAGTATGTACATGACAGCCACAAATAGAGATCCTGTGTGGTATACCCTGGTGACAAGCTGGGATTTTCGAGGGAGGAGTGGGGAGGATGATCTGGAAGGAACAAGGAGAACAAGGCACATACCTACTCCGTGACAAGGCTCAGTGGGAGCAGGGGTGCAAAGGCAGCAGGGTCCCAGGGGAGAACCATGTTTACTTAAGAAAAGAAAAGTTAAGGGACCATTCAGAGAAGAGGGCGAAGACATAGTAGATTTTGCTGATGATTGACCATGAATTTTAGAAGGGTCTCCATAAATATGAATGGATTAATGAAAAAGTGAGACTTAAAATGTATCTAATCATTCTGTAAGCCGTATGTAAAATGTAAAGTGCTACAGAAATGGACGGCATTGTTTCTACCTTTTTAAATGCCTTGATTGAGGAAACTTCATTCTGCTTTCATGGTTTTCTTTACATTAATCTGTATTTTCTAAATTGACAATATTCTTTTCCAGCCTTACTCATTTTTCTCCCCACATGGTTCCTTCTCCATTTCCTACACATCTTTTCTAAAATCTGTTTGGGAAGAGGAGAGAGAAACTTTCCTGTTAAGCAAAACACCATCATGCAACTCTAAACTTTTCTTTTAAATCGAAGTATAGGCAGTTATAATGTGTCAGTTTCTGGTGTACAGTCTAATATTTCAGTCATATATATACATATATTCATTTTATATTCTTTTTCATTATACGTTACTATAAGAAATTGAATATAGTTCCCTGTCATCATGAAACTCTAATCGCACAATCTCCTATTATTCTGTCTGCCGTAAACATAAATATAATGATGACAGGAATTTTAGAGCCGAAAGGGTACTTAAAGAACATAATGTGACCTTCTTATTTTACAACTGACTAGAGATTATGCAATTTGCCAAATTTAATTGGCTGGTTACTAGCAGAGCCAGGGCTAGAATTCATGCCTCCTCTCCAGCTTCCTTCTGTTTTCCATTAAACAGCAGAAACATAGAAAGCACCTGTTAGAGGGGCACTGTATGCTGGTGGTTGAGTGCAGGCTCTGATGTTAGATTACTCAAGTTCAAATCTTAAAACCTGCTACCTATTAGCTGTATGACCTTAACCAAGTAATTGCCCTATGCTTCAGTTTCTTCATCTACAAAATAGAAGGCACAATTATATCTACTTCATAGAGTTGTGGTAAGCATTGAATGAATTACTGTACTTAAAGCACATAACAGTGTTTCGCACATAAAGAGTGAACAGAAATCTGAGCTATTGTTACTATTTAGGACATACTCTCATAGCTTCTGATATAACAGAGATTAACGGAGGCCAGAGATTTTACCCACAGCTGTTTTTGTTTGGTCTGGAGTTTAAGAAACAAAACCAAGACAAGAGCAAAAAAAAAAAAGTATATATATATATATATATATATATATATATATATACACACACACACACACACATATATATATATATCACACTTCAGATAATGTTTACAAATATGGTTATTTCACATGGAGATATAAATTTCCAGTTTTTCTTGAAAATTGGAAGGTTTGATATCTAGGTCAGAACTTTTTTTTTTAAGATAGGTTTATTTATTTATTTTTTCTGAGGATTGAACCTAGGACTATGTGCGTGCTAAGCAAGCACTGTACCACTGAGCTATATCTTCTCCCTAGGCCAGAATTCTGATGCAGCATCAGTTGGCTGTAGCTAAAAGCAGCTGCCTCCTTTAGACCCCACCACCCACATAATGTATGTGCATGTACTCATACCCTTGCAGTCTCTATCTTTTAACTTTACTTACCTGACTACTGCATGCCTCTGAAATTGCATCCCAGACTAAGACAGTCTCAAGGAATTCATAATCCAATAGGTGAGATGCATTGGCTAAACAATTCACAATACAGTATGATAGAAACAAGTGCAAAGTTTCAAAGTACAAAGTATACAGTAGCCTGAAGGAACATGAGTGTGTACTGAATGGTGAAGGTGCTGCTGCTGCTGTATGTTGTTAAGAAAGTGGCATTGAAAAAGAAGAGGAGTGGAAGAGGGTTGAGGGCTGCAGAGAGAAAAGGATGTGTACTGACAGATGACTGGATAAAGAAGTTGTGGTATATTTATGCAATGGAATACTACTCAGCCATAAAAATGATGAAATTATGCCATTTGTAGCAACATGGATGGCTCGGGAGAATGTCATTGTAAGTGAAGTAAGCCAGAAAGGGAAAGAAAAATACTATATATCACTCATATGTGGAATCTAAAAAAAAGACCATTCTCTGTCAAATGTCTTTGGACCTTGTGTTTGAGAAAGAAGTGCTGTATAATCCACAATATTCTATGAAATATCTTTCAGTAGCAAATTGTCACTTCAGGAAGAAGCCCTGTCTTTATAATGGATAAAATACAGTTTTTAGGTTTGTCTGCAAGTAAAGTTTCCTCATCTGTAAAATGGGTATAATAATAGCACCTACAGCAGGGCTATTAAATTGAGTATTAAACTCAATATGTCATGTAAAGATCTTGCAAGGGTACCTCATACAGATTAAAAGTAGTAAATTAATTTGTTATTATTATTATGATATCTAATGAGTTCTCCTTGCCTATCATCCCTACTGTTGAGAAAATATAATATTTCATTAAGTCAAATACGTATTTTTCATTAAAAATTGAAGTTAAATCAAGACGGGTGGCATTTTTAGGCTGCATATGGTAAAAAGTAAACCCCCAAAATACTAGATGAAAGTGCCAAGATAAAATTTCCTTTCCTTCCATATTATTGATTGCACAAGTTTCAAGAACAATTTAAAGGTTTTTGTGCAGCACAGAAAATTCAAGTTATTGTCTGCAGAAACTAATTCAATAATAACAGTTTATTAGTGGCAATAAAGGTGCTTAGGTAAAGAGACATTTCTCCAGTTCCCCCAGCCTCAAAGAGGAGAAAAACACAGAGACAAAAGACCTTTTCACATCTGACAATAACATCTTGGTCAGCCTGGGAGCTCAGACAATCACTTGGCGGGAAAAGAATAAATACAGACCAAATTCGCACAATCTGTTTCTGTTTAGGTTATAAACTGCGATCGAGTGTGGCAGCTTTCGTGCCTTGTGGGACTTGAAGTCCACAGGGGAGAAGTGATCGCGGCGGCCCCTGCAGGTCTGAGCAGAAGGGACTACAACTCCCGAAACACAGTGCGAGGCCGCGCCGTAATTACCGGCAACCAACCCGACGGGAGCAGGACAAGCCCCATCCCCCGGCTCGGAGGACGGCCTCCGCCAATGGCAGAGCTCCCAGCTCAGAGCCTGCGGGTTAGGTTGTGAGGCTCCGGCCGGGGGCGGGGAGGAGCCGAGGGGGTTCAGAACGAGCTCGGCCGCTGGGTGGGTCGGGGCGTTCGGCGCGCCCTTCACTGAAGCGGCGGTGGCCGGGCTGGGCGCCGGGAGTGGAAAGCGACGGCGCGGCTGGAAAATGCCAGTCCACTCCCGAGGGGATAAGAAGGAGACGAACCATCACGATGAGATGGAGGTGGACTACGCCGAAAATGAGGGGAGCAGCTCCGAGGACGAGGACACCGAGAGCTCGTCCGTCTCCGAGGATGGAGATAGCTCAGGTATGCGACCTGGGAGGGCTGGGAGCCGGAGACCTCGCGCCGGGGTAGCGACAGGCCGCTCTCCGCACGCCGGCAGCTGCGTCCTGCTGGGAGAGCGGGGCGGGGAGAGAGGGAAGGGGCGGAGACTGGCTCCCGGCCCTCGGCGGCACCGGGACTATTCGCTGGGCGCTGCCTGGCTCCTGGCGGGTCCCGGGTTGGCGGGCGGGCGGGGCAGGGCGCGGGCCTGGACTCGCCCGGCTCTGGGACGCTGTGCCGTCCTGCGCGCGGTCCTTCCTGCCCTTGGGACCTCCGGGCAGTGCCCGGGGCTCTCCTGATCGGAGAGCGGAATGTCCCGCCTCTTGTCTAGGAGACCCTGGAAATGCCTCCTTTTCCCAGACCGCCGACTTCTTATTTTTCGGCTTTGCAACCCTTACTTCTCAACGTGGGTGGGTTATCGGAGCCGAGGATAGATTTGTTTTGGCTCTTCGAATTTGGCTGGCTGGCTTAGAATTTATTAATCTCAGCTTCCAAGTCAGCCTGTCAGTCAGCCCTTGACATCGGTGCTCTTTTGGGGGCTGACGTGGGAGCTGTCCGATTTACAGCATCTCTCCGAACTTTTCAAGACTGATAAGAAGAGCCTAGCATCAGGGGTGATTTGGGATCTTCATATGCTCATAAATTGACTAGTATTTGGCAACTTTGAATTTCTCCAGATGTTTTCTTCCCTGTTATCTTTGGATTATTTTAGGGTGGGGTTCTTGTTTGTTTTTTGCGGGAGTGGGATGGAGTGGTGGAGGGCAGATTAACACCACAAATCAATTTTTGCGAAATTTTAGGAATGGTTATTTAAAAAAGAAATGGAATTTGGATTACCTGGATTCTTTTTCTTCTATCCGTATGATGAAGGTGAGACTTCTGTGTCTTGGCCTGATTTGGGCCCTGTAAAGCAGGGATTGATAACAGATTGATGACAGTCTATTGTGATCTCGACACCCTCTTTTCAGGTTTCCTTTTCAAAGAAAATCTCCATGGAAGTATGTAATTTCAGTCAATAGATTAACTATCTAAAAATAATTGTTTACGAGTGACTTCCTTGTGCAGCACTGGGTTCTACTGTGAGGTATAAATAGTTATGATCTGATCTCAATTAAAGAGTTGCCCTAAGTCATCACTTGATTAAATTGCCAAATGAATGTTTAACAGTACTGTAGGAATTCAGAGGCAGAGGAAATCTTTTCAGAATAGGGTGGTCAGCAAAGGCTAGTTGAAGGAGGTGGGATTACCTGAACTATCTTGAAGAATGAGTAGACTTTGGATTGGAGTGGTAATGGTCAGGTGTTTCTTTAGGGGGAGGAATGCAAGAAGAAAGTGCAAAGGCCAGTGCTTAAGGCTTATTTAAAAGAGTGAGAAAACCAGTTTGGTTGGAAAAAGGATTTGAGCTAGAAAAGGAAAAGATATATATGTGAAAAAAATTTTTTAAAGCACAAAGCAAGATTGATGACTACAAGCTTAGGAGTGAGGGTAAGAGGAAAAAAACCCAGGTACAAGAATGGTGGTAGCATGAACAGAAATAGAAAAATGAAAGATTTGAGATGAAGATGGAAGATATGGTATTACAGACATGTCCAATTGACAGGTTGAAGTGTGGCATTGGAACCTGCTAGGGATGGGAAGCATAATTTGGAAGTCCTCTACCTAGTCATGAAAACAGGTGAGATTTCAAAAATGAGGAATACGGAGAAAGAACATCCAGACTGTATGTGAATATATTTCCTAGGTCTGAAAAACATTTTATCTTCGATTGCTCTTTGTTTTTGTTTGTTTGTTTGTTTGTTTGTTTTAACAGGAGCTAGAATCTCACAAAATGACGTCTATTTACTAAAATTCTGCCTGTCTGATTTTTATGTTGACTCTTATGATTTCTCTCTGTTTTTTATTCCATCCTCGAAAATAACAGACAACTTAATTTGTGAAGAATAACAATAATTTGAACTACAAGTCAAATTTCTTAAGTGGAAAGAAATTATTTAGATAAATTTTGCCATTTTGCGTCCTGTGAAAGCATCTCCTTTCTACCACATGTCTTGCATGTTAAACTTCTACAATTTTATTCTTCTCCAGCCTTGGTCCTAAGGCTGCAGAAAATCTCTACTGTCCAGAGATGTTGGGGAGTGAGTCATCTTGAGGGACCAAATTTTAAATAGCCAAGGAATAAGCTATTAAGAACCAGAAACAATTTTAATCTGTTTCTGAAAAGTTAAAATAATTGCATACTTCCTTGTTATACAAAAACAACATAATTTAATTTCCACATAGTTTGACCTTTATTTGATGGAGATCAATTTGCTCATCATTTTGTGCTTTAGTTATTCTGGTGTCAACTATATGTGATGTAAAAATAGAAGATATGAAATATAGGACAGAACTGGTAATTAACAGTTGCTTTCTTTGAAAAGTTTTCTTGTTTTTCTCATTTTTCTCCTCTCACTGACTGACAGTAATTTGGGGAGAGGGAACCAGTGGGAGTATAAGAGTAAGGGAGCAGAAAAAAAAAGTAGGAGACCAAGATATCCTATGGTAAACATAATGAGATTCGTTTTCTTTTTTTATGTGACTGGCAAACCATCCATGAGAGCAGTACCAAAGGAAGAATTCCATAAGTGTTTTTGAGCAATATTAACCTTTAAAGGACATAATCATTTTGGTGCTTAAGTTCTGGTGAGTTGATGGAAAACAAACCAAAAGTGGGTTAATCATAGTCAGCCCTTTAAATGTCAGCCCTTTAAACTGATTTAAAAATGAATAAAAATAAGAAGTTCTAGAGAGACTGCTATTGTTTTAACTCTCATCTATATTTTAGGTTAAAATCTGTATGGAAATTATTTTTGATAAATATTTATTCGGTGTTAAAGCTTAGTATAGGCCTTGCGTATCTAACTTCATAGTTCGTTTCTTTTTTCCTTTTTTACCATTTGAATTAACATTCAGATGTATTTGGAACTTAAAGTTAATTTTATCTTTGATATTTGCCTTCTTATTAACAGAAATGGATGATGAAGACTGTGAAAGAAGAAGAATGGAATGTTTAGATGAAATGTCCAATCTTGAAAAACAGTTTACCGATCTCAAGGATCAGTAAGTAGTGACTTCAGAAAGTCATTGTCACTGAATCTCAACCACATCACTAGCATGAGAGAAATTATATTCACTCTAAACTGTTTTCCTTTTTGTATTTTATGGGACTGAGTGATCTGAAAAAGGCTTTAGTTATTGTTGGCCTGCTGAAGACCGCATTAACTAAATTTGAGGCTGTTTTTTGGGGGGCTATCTTAAGATTTTTATGTAGGTGTTGATCATTAAGATGTTTCCGTAGGTCGTTACACCCTTGGTTCAAATCTGCTTCATTCATTCCTGTGTTAAATAATTGGATAAAGACAGCATTGTAAAAATAGAGAATAAGATTTTTCCCGAAGATGGCATAGTGATTTTGTTTATATCTTAACATTGGATACTTCATACATGACATGTTTCATGTGCATTACTTAGTTTGCTTCTTGCAGCAACTCTGTAAGTTTGGAAGGTCGTCTTACTTCTAATTTACCTGTGAGATTATTGATGTTCAGAGAGGTTAAGTGATTTGTCCATAGTTGATCAGAAAATGATAAATTAAGCCAGGCTTTCTGCCTCCTATGCTATGGTGTTCCTTCCATTAAGGCACGTTACTTTGGAGGAATTGTAGTGGAATAGGAAGAGCATAGGCTCTAAATGCAGGCTTTCTTGACAGATTATAAAGGTATAGTAATAGATCCTTTATTATCTGCTATAAAGATTGAATGAGCAGTATGTAAAATCCTCAACCCTTTGTCTGGCATGTAGTGCGTGTCTATTAGATACTGTTTTTTTTCCCCTCTTTACGATGCCAGAACTCTTAGGTAAAGTTGGTAACACAGGAGTGGGCCCCAGTGATTTCAGAGCATAGAATAGATGCAAATGCAGATTAGAAAAATCTTAAAGGTGAGCTTTCTCTTTGGAACTTGCTGGCAAGGTCATGGAGCATGCTACATGTTAGACTGTAAATGAAAGAGAGAAAATTTTGAGACTATGGACATCTTAATTTATTCAGAAGCTTGTTCTTTAGTTTATGAATTCTTCGTGATTTTGCTGCTTATTCTTTTTTTCTACTTCTTCCCTGGAGAGGCCCAAAGAAGAGATGAAAACCTGTTTAATGTCTGGAATTGCCAGACTAAAATAAGACATATTTGTTTACCGTATGAATCTTGCTTTTATACCATTTCTGGTCTTAACTTTCATTGGTATTAGAGATGAATGTATAGGTATGTTCCATGGTAGTGCAGGAAATTAATATAAGCAATCCAAAATAATCCAGGCTTTAAAATTTTGACTTTAAAAAATGTGATATCATTTTCTTATCCTTAAGATTTACATTGTTAACTTGAAAATAGAATTAGTTTGGATCTCCTGAGAATCCTTTGTTGGGGCAACATGGAGAGTTTATTCAGGATGATTCTGGAAAAGAAGAAGCAAATTTGTATTTTTGTATTTTAGCACAAGTAATTCATGAGTGAATAATTCTTACACAGTTAATTAAGATATACCTACTGAGTTTCTTAAAGAGCATTTTATGGTTGTCCAAGAAATGAAAATTGCTGCAGAGTTCTAGTATAATGTATCACATAGGAGAGCTATGCGTCTTGTCGGCCATTTGGCCTAGTCTTGTTCACGCTGGGGCCGGCAGTTGCTGTGATTTTTGCTTTCTCAAGGCTCACTGTGACCACAGCCAATTACCTACCCCTATCAGCTTCATTCATTTCTGAAAGTATTAAAAATAGACCCATTACTACTACTTAATAGGAATTTTCCCCAAGGAATTGGTATCCAGAAATATGTCCTAGAAAAAAATAATCTTGACACCATGTTTATAATTATTTTTTGTCTTGCCCCAATTGCTTTGTTGTTTTTATCTTGTCATACTGTGTGTCTCCACAAGCTGTCCCTAATCCTCTTTGGAAGAGGTGGGAAATGTAATAATAATAATAGTAACAACATCAACAACAATAGCAATAATAAAATTATCCTGCTCTGCCTGTTGTAGCACTGCAGGGCACAGTAGCACTCCTTTCATAAGGCAGAAAATCTGCAGTTTACAGTTTGTAAAGTGGTGGAAGGTGAGTTCTTCCACCTCCTTGAAAAGATAGAGGAACTTGTGCCACCCAAGCTTCCATTCATTTCGGTGTTCAATACCCAATAAACATTAGTTTAGCTTCTATTTTGTGAATAGTGTTGTGATTGCTGCTGAGGGACTTGTGATCCATGCCTTTGATGAGTTTGCATTTGAATTGCAAGGTTGTAGAAATCGTATTGATTTTGAGGAATCTATTCTTTTAGAACTTTTATTCTCTTAGTTAATTGAATATTGTTAATTCACATATCCTCTTCATTCAAGATACTTTTCACCTGTTCAGGATACCTTATCAATATTTTGTTTGATGTTTTTCAGTTGCAGTCATTTTTTGCATCAGATTTTTAGCATTTTGCCTAAAGTTGTATTTATAATTTCAGAAACTACAAGTATCATGTACTTTTCTGACTTTACACGTTTATCACTGTATGTTGAGTTTTAGAAAAATTTAACCCAGGCATGATAATATATTGTTTTGGTCATTAATACAGATAATTTTTCTTTTTGTTTTTAAAAAAAGAATATTTATTACATTAACATTCAAACTTGCTTTATTCCTTTAGAGTCATTATGTAAATCTCTACGCTAATTATAATGACCATTAATAGACAATTAATATTGATTGCCATAATTGTATTGTATTGGCTTATATTTTCAAGAGAAAAGAGCAGAATTTTATATGAAAGACAGATATAATGTTTTCAAAAGCTAGTTATACTGAAACCTGCAAGCATAAACTGTGGTTTCTTTTGGAAGTTACTATATGCCATCCTTGGACATTTTATGACATTTCTCCACCTATAATAAAATAATAAATGGCAAAAAAAATTTACAAAGTGATCTTAATTTGTTAATCTGCTTTGAAATTTTGGCCTATCCATGGAATGCCAGAAAACCAGGATTAGAAGTGTCTTTCATAAAAAATGATAATTTAAACATTTTCCTGTTAAAAAGTTAGTTCCGTCCTGCAGGATTATTGCTAAAAATAAACATTGAGTTGTCTCACATATTCTGTCTTTGATAATTAAGCTAAAGATGTGACAGCTGGTAAATCAGAAGTATTTATATGTGGGCTCATAAATACAGGAACAGGGAATCCCTGCCCACTTTTCATTTCCCCATCCATTGAGCAACTCATATTGTTATAGCCTGTTCATTTGCAGTCCAGGTGAACTGTGTATGCCAGAACACAAATTCTGGAGTCATTAGTTTTACCTTCATCACTCTACTTCTTCTTTGTTCTTTTAAAAAATCAAGTAGGCTGAATATTGCAATACTGACTCCTTTTCAGGAAGCTTGGAGAGGAGACAGGGAATTATTTATTTCTGACGACTAGTAATGCCTATATCTAAATCATCCAAAATGATCTCTTTGTTTCTTTTAAATTCAGTGTTTATTTGGTCTTTTCTTTTGGAATTGATTTATTGTTCTGTAGTTAAAACAAAAACACATGTGGAATGCCCCAAAGTTGTCATTTCAGTTGTATTTTTTGTATTGTAAATTAACCATTAAAGAGTAATATAGCTAAAAAAAATAGAAAAACAGTTTGTGATTATATGCATGAAGTCGAATAATGTAACTGAGTTCTTCACTTGAATTCAAGGCAAAAATACATTTGGTAGGTTATTAGAATATGAACAATGCTAAGAAGAGATAATGTATAGAAGTGGTAAATTGTTAGCCTTTGTTGGGCTTTTAAAATTAATATCTTAATTTTTGCTTTGTTAAGACTTTATAAAGAACGATTAAGTCAGGTGGATGCAAAACTACAAGAAGTCATAGCTGGAAAAGCACCAGAATATTTGGAACCACTGGCAACTTTACAAGAAAATATGCAAATTCGTACAAAGGTAGCAGGTAGGAAAGTGAAACATCTTTTCCATATAGTAGTATATGAACTCTTCACTAGACTTAAAAGGTGTTTTTCAAGTGAGTGGTTGTTGTTAATGGAAGTACGAATATATTTACATTGACCAGAGCTTTTCATTATCAGTCAGCCCACATTATTTATTAAATGCCTCAGTGCTTTTATCTGTTGCTGTGGGGGTTTAAAAAAAAAAAGGCCCTCAAAATTGCTCACAGTGTTTTTGAGAAGATACCTCCATGTGCGAAACAATTAGAACCCATGATATTTTCATTAAGGGATACTGTTTCTATCACAGTTTAATTTCCTGTTAAATATATTAAGGTTCAAATTAAGTCCTCTTAGCATTTTTCAGCTATAACAGTGATAAGTATTTTTCATTTGTAAAACTATTTTTTGAATGTTTTATCAGGATATTATAGAACAGGGAATTAGTCTTCAAACTTACAACTTAGTGATAAGTTAATTTTGGTAAATTTGATGACTCATTTGTGGCTCTGAATAAATGAAGATGTACTACATGTGTATAGTTAAATTTCAGTCTGTTATGTAATACCTAGGGCATTATTGATAATAGGTTCTTTTTGTACTAGATTCAAATTTTATTCTTGAGTGCTTAATATTAAGTATATAGATGATGTGATACTTAATCTGCTATCTTTGCATCTTGGCTTAGCACATCCTTTTAAAAGTAGACATATCCTTAATTTTCCTTGGCATTCTAAAAGACCTGAGTGAGACTTACTGGCTGTTTAGGAAATATTACTTTATTACTTGAGTCAATTATTCAGATTTCTACTTGGTGGCCTCCTTTACTTTTTGACTGTATGAGAGTAGTGGGTATGAATGTGTTGCTAATAGCATAGTTCCAGATATCTGTCCCTTGCCTTTTCTATACAAGACAGAATTGTATTTCTAGGGGCAGTTTTGGCATAGAGTTAAGTATATACTTCTGGACCTCTTTCTTTGCCGTTTTTGTGATGGCATATTTGAATGGTCACGTTGCCTATTTTATGCTGTTGTCCTCATACCTCTAGGTTAAACTCTCTTGAGTGTCCATCCCCTAGGTAAAGCCCTGTCGGGAGCGCTCAAACATCATATCAGTTTATACATTTTGTTAAATTAGTTTATATATTTAATCCTCTTGGAAGCTTTGGACTCTGAAAATAAGTAGTAGTTGGAAAACAGTAGTTTTGCTGATTATAGTATCCAGGTGTTACTTTGAGTTTATATGATTAATGACACTGGGGTTTATTGACTCTGTTTCCATTATGAGTCCTGAGAGATTGTTTTTCATAGGTAGAGTTTTACTTTCATTTTAATCATTCTCTATCAAACATTTAGGAGTATTCTTCAGAAAAATAGGGTAAGAACTAAAAGTTGCAGTGTAGCTTCTGTCTGGCTCTTAAACTCTTAGTTTTCTAGTCTTCTCTGATATGTATTTTAACTGAGCCTTTTTATTTTTAGTTTTTAAAGGTTAAGTTAGACTCACTTGCCAATTTCTTCTTGGTTCATCTTATAAAATAGGACAGAATTCCTGTAGGGAAGTGATAATGAAACTCCTTATTGCTGATATAATCAGAGTAATTGTGTTTGGTTGCAGGAATCTATAGAGAGCTCTGCTTAGAATCTGTAAAGAACAAATATGAATGTGAAATTCAAGCTTCTCGCCAGCATTGTGAGGTACTGTTATTTTGCTTAACTTTTAAGCTGATTTCAACTCTTCAAGTCTTCTGAGTGCAGCAGTTAAAAAAGTAAATAAAATAAGTGAAACAAAATTAAATAGTACTTTAGCTCAGCACTTGTGTGATTTTTTTTTTTATTTTATACAGTTGCACTGGAAGCTGTATTGGAAATAGGACACAAAGAAGGGACCATAGAAAAGAAATAAGTGATATAATTTTATAAGTTTTGCAACTATTACCTTAAAAAGACTTTGTAATGATTATGTCATCTGGCATCACTGAAAATAGTGTAATTGATATGATATTCAAGGCTCAAAAAATGTATATCTGGTAGTACAATTAGAATGTTGGGCCATATTAATTTCTTGATTTCTGGATCTGTTTCCACATCCTAGGATGAAAATCTCTGCAGGATAAAAACAGATTCTGTATATTCTGTTTTGAATAGTATTTAAAAAACATAGTGCTGATTTTGTAGATAACTTTTCATGAAACTTAGACAAGATTATAAATGTACTAGTGAGAAATAAGAGGACAAGTTCTATGATGATTCTTATCTTACTTTAATATATCTTTATAAATCATTAAAATACTGAAAGTAGATAGGTATAAAAATGGTGGAGCTTGTTATTTCATTGTCTTGATTGTAACTGAGATGAAACATCGTCTGGTGGTTATTGGCTGCTTGGAATTTCTTTCCTAAGAAGTGCCTGTTCGTATCTTTTGCCTTTATGTTGAGCTTTAAGTCTTTTCCTCATTGACTGTAGAGGTTCTTTTTATGTTCTGGATTAAAATGCATTGCTGGTTATATGCTTTGCACATATTTTTATCCAGGCAATGTGGTATCTTTTCACTCTTTTTGATGACTTTATGAACAAAATTTTACATTTTAATGTAGTTAAATTTATCATCTTTCCTTTATGACATATGCTTTTTGTGTGTTCCCCGCTTTGAGGAAGAACAATGTACTTTATTTAAAAGTTGAAAGTTTGCTTTTAAACATTTAGATTGGTAAACCACTTTTACTTGTAACTACCTTTGATTAAACTACTTTTAATTTTTAGTTGCCAAACTACCAGTTAATTTTTATGTGTGGTTAAAGGATGGGTCTAATTTTACTTTTTTGCATATGGATAGATAATCTCAACACTACTTATTACACACGTCATTGTTTTCCACTAATCAGCAATTCCATCTCTTTTTATATCAAATATCCGCATATGTGCTGGCTTGCTTCTAGCTTTTCTCATTTGTTTTGTTGGTCTGTTTGGCTCTTTCTGCACAAGTGTCATATGTTTTTTTTTTACAGCTTTCCATCTAGTAAGTCTTATTAACTCAAAAGCCTAATAATTTTGCCTTATTCTTTTTCTTCTTACAGTTGTTATTGTTAAAAAATTTTTTGTTTAGTAACAACTTCAAAAAAATTTCTTTTTATTTTCTGCTGCCACACAGAAAAATAATTTTGTACATTGATATATCCAACCTTATCTACCTCTCTTAATTCTAATAATTACAGATTCTTAGATTGTCCATGTGGATAGTAGTGTCCCTTGTAAATAATGGCAACGTATTTCTTCCTTTCTCATTTCCTCTGATTTATTTTACTTGTCTTAATGGCACTGATAGAACCTCTAGTACTTCTTGGAATAGTAGCAGTGAAAGCAGGTCATTACTGTGTTCTTGATTTTAAGGGAATGCTTCTAAGTTTTCTAATAAATGTGGTATTCACTGTTTGGTTCTGATAAGCATTGTTTTTATCAAGTTAAGAAAATTTATTTCTTATTTTCTGAGAATTTTTCCATAAATATTGACTTTATTAAACACTTTGCCTGCATCTATTGCATTAGTCATTTTTTTGCACTTAACATGAATGTAGTGACTTAGATTAGTAATGTATTTTCTAATGTTAAACTATCGTTGGATTCCTGGAATGATTTTTCTTGTGCATACCAGATTCAATTTGCTAATATTTGTTTAGAAGCTTTATTTCTATGTTAATAAGTGAGATTTAATTTTTAATTCTTATACTGTCTTTGATTTCAGGATTCATAAAATAAGTTAGGAATATTCATTTTTTTCTTTTCCATAAAAGTATATATTTAAGATTGCAATCATCAGGTCATGAATGCTTAGTACGTATTGCCTGTATGCTACATTTTTAAAAACAATCTCAGAGTAAAGCTGAGAGAAAGTACAAAATAACTTTTTTGGTGAACATGAGAATCAGTTGGCAACATGATGCCCCATAACCCTTGAATACTGTAATGAATATTTCAAACAAATGAGGGACTGTTCTCTTACATAACCACACTCCCATCAAGTCATCAAAATCAGGAAATGTACATTGATGTTACTACCATCTAATCCTCAGAGCCCATTTAAGTTTCAGCAGTAGTCGCAATAGCACTCTTTAAAGCAAAGAGATCCAGCTCAGAATCACATGTTGTCTTTGTCATTGCATCTAGTTCTCATGTCTTTTTAGTCTCCTTCAATATGAAACAATACCTCAGTCTTCCCTTGACTTTGATGATCTTTGCATTTTTGAAAATTTCAGGCCAGTTATGTTTTAGAATGTTCCTCAATTTTGAATTGGTCTGCTGTTTCTTCATGATTGGGGTTAAGTTTTGCTTCTTTGATAGGCGTGCCACAGCAGTGATGCTATGTTCTTATTGAATTCTAACAGGCAGTGCCCAATTTTGGTATGCACCACTGTTGGTGATATACACTGATCACTCAATTTAAGTGTTGTCTTCAAGATTTCTCTAAGTAAACTTACTTTTTGTCATTTTGATAAATAAGTATTTAGAGGAGAAGTACTTTGAAACTGCAAATATCTCATTCCTCATAACACTATCTATCTGTCTGTCTATTTATTTATTTGTATATATATATATGTAAGTATATACATTGTTTCCTCTTTTTTTTATTTTTGGTCGGCTTCATCTTTCAATTACTAAACGAGATGAGTCAGAATTTCTCTCTGTGATGATGGATTTATTAATAACCTCCTTTTGTTTATTTATTTTATTATAGTTACTAGTTTTCTTTTTTAGTACCTAAGAAAACCCATATACTATTCCTTTCAAAATAGTTAAATCATTAACCATTTGAGATCTAGGGGCCAAAAGTGCTAATGATGATATGCCCCACAATGTATATCCACTGTCACAGGTTTCTTTGATCAAAAAGGTTGGTACTGTCCCAAAGACACTGAATGCTTATGATTCCAGAGCACCCTGTTGCAGCTTATCTCTCATGGAATTTCTTTTATCTTTTTCCCTTTTTTTCTTTTTTCTCTCTCTCCATTCCTTCCTCCCTTCTCCCTTCTTCCCTTCCTCCCTCCCTCCCTCCCTCCTACCCACACCCTATTTCTTTGTCTTTTTTAAATTGAGATAAGGATACTTAACATCAGATCTACCCTCTTAACAAATTTCAAGTATGTAATACATTATTGTTAACTATAGGCATACTGTTGTACAATAGATCTCTAGAACTTAACTGTCATGTGTAACTGAAACTTTATACCCATTAAATAGCAAGTCCCTATTTTCCCTTCCCTGTAGCTCCTGGCAACCACTGTTCTGCTCTCTGCTTCTATGTGTTTGACTAGTTTATATACCTTATCAATTTGGTATGCAATATTTATCCTTACGTGACTGGCTTATTTCACTTGGCATAATATTCTCAAGGTATATCCATGCTGTGATACGGCAGGATTTCCTTCTTTTTTTAAAATTGTGTGTATATATCATATTTCCTTGTCCATCCATCCTTCAGTGTATATTTAGGTTGTTGTTGCACTTGTTGCCTATTGTGAATAATTCTGCAGTGAACAAAGGAGTGCAGATATCTTTTTGAGATCCTGATCTCAGTTCTTTTGGGTATTTACTCAGAAGTAGGATTGCTGGATCATATGATAATTCTATTATAAATGTTTTTGAGGAACATCCATTACCTCCATTCTGTTTTTCACAGTAACGACACCATTTTACATTCCCACCAACTGTGCACAAGGGTTCCAATTTCTCCATATCCTCACCAACACTTACTATTTTTTGTTTTTTGATAATAGCCATCCTAACAGGTGTTAAGTGATATCTCATGGTAATTTTAATTTGCATTTTTCTTATGATTAGTGATGGTGAGCATCTTTCCATGTACCTGTCAGCCATCTGTATGTCTTTTTTGGAGAAATGTCTATTCAAGTCTTCTGTCCATTTTTTAATTGAGTTCCTTATATATTTTATATAACTCCTTATCAGGAGGATATTAACCCCTTATCACATATATGGTTTGTAAGTATTTTCTCCCATTCTGGTAGTGTGCCTTTTTACTCTAGTTGTTCCTTTGATATGCAGAAACCTTTTATTTTGATATAATGCCACTTACCTTTTTGGGTTTTTTTTGGAGCGGGGAGGTAATTAGGTTCATCTATTTATTTATTACTATTAGTGGAGGGACTGGGGATTGAACCTCGGATCTCGTGCATGCTAGGCATGCACTCTACCACTGAGCTATCCCCTCCCCTCTTTTTGGGTTTTTCTGTCTGTGCTTTTGGTGTCATATCCAGGAAATCATTCCCAAGACTGATGTGACAAAACTTATCTTCTGTATTTTCTTCTAGTAATTTTACAGTTTCAGGTCTTGCATTTAAATGCTTAACCAATTTTGCGTTGATTTTTGTGTATGGTGTAAGGTAAGGGTCAAATTTTAGTCTTTTGCATGTGGCTTTCCAGTTCTCCCAAAGCCGTTTGTTGAAGATCTATTCTTTCCCTATTACGTATTCTTGGCACCTTTGTTGATGATCAGCTGACCACATATGCATGGGTTTATTTCAGGTCTGTGTATTCTGTTCCATTGGTCTAAATGTTTATGCTCATACCATATTGTTGTAATTACTGTAGCTTTATAATATGTTTTAAAATTAGGAAATGTGAGGCCTCTAGCTTTGTTCTTCTTTCTCTAGATTGTTTTGGCTCTTTGGGGTCCTTTGTGTTT